AGGTTGCTAGAGATGTGAATCTACCTCTCTCAAAGTTTGTTAGTTTAGCTGAGAGTGTCCCTGAGTTTTCTAGGCTTGATCATGATGATCTTTATAGAGCTATTGATATATATCTCAAGGTACAGTGATCTCTCAAAACATCTCATCATTTTTTGTGTTCACTAAATCTAATTATAGTCATTGTTGTGTTTCCTATAGGCTCATAAGGATCTGAATAAATCAGAAAGAAAAAGAGTATGCAGAGTCTTGGACTGCAAGAAACTATCAATGGAAGCGTGTATGCATGCTGCGCAGAACGAGATGCTTCCACTGAGAGTTGTGGTTCAAGTCCTCTTCTATGAGCAGGCGCGAGCAGCTGCAGCTACCAACAACGGTGAAGTCAAAATGACTGAGCTTCCAAGCAACATCAAAGCACTTCTTGCTGCACATAACATTGACCCTTCTAATCCAAGTGCAGCTGCTTTCAGCACGACCACAAGCATGGCAGGACCGGAAGATCAGTGGAGCGTGTCTGGTCTCAAATCTCCCAAGTCAAAGCTCACAGGGACACTGAGAAGCAAGCTAGCTGAAGATGAGGAGTTAGATGAGAGGTTTATGAACCAAGAAGGAGGAGGAAGAACTCCATCTCGGTTTAAGGCTTTCTGTGCAATCCCTGGCCGACCTAAGAAGATGTTCAGCAAGTTTTTGTCTATCAACAGAAACTCCAATGACAAAAACTGAATAAACAGTTATTTTTAGACCTTTTAGAGTAAAAAAAGAAAGAAAATGTTTAAACCTCTCTATCTATCTCTATGTAACTTCACCAATGTTCAATTAATCTCCAGTAATAATGTTTTAAGAATTCAGATTTATTTTCATTGGATTAACGAGACGTGTTTGGAATCCAGAAGGTAAAAAGAAAATGACCTAATTATTAATTTAGAGTTGTATGAAACAGAGCAGCCTGAAGATTTTCTTGTTTGATTGATTATTCTATGTTTGTAGAGAGTAAAAGTCAAATCTTCCTCTCTGTCTTTGTAGTAATCTGTTGTCTGCTACTGGTAGCTTGTTTGTTCATATATAGATATGATATACCCAAAATGATCATGTTCATTAATCAGTAGAGAGGAGTGCAAAGTATTCAACAAAACATTTATTATGTAAATTTGATCTTATATTAGACAAAATGAATACAGGATATCTTAACCACCTTGGATTTGATATGTAATTAGGTACGTATATCATGATTCTTTTCAATAATTTTGTCACTATCACATGGTCTCCCTCTCACTAAACAAGTGTCCAAGTTTTGTGCTAACATCCCAGACAACAAATCATTCTTGTATGTCAACAAGTTTAATGTATAATTCCGACCTAATCTGTCCAACAAGTTTCATCATGTTCATGATACTTAACAATTATTTTTGTTCCAACAATATGCATAATACAACTTTGGCATCCCGCATATATGTAGACAAACTAATACAAAATACGTTACATGTCATCTTGTATGAGTTTGTTTCTAGTTTCTATAAGTTAAGTTTCAAGAGTTTTTAAGGATATACCAGAGTCCAGGATCGTTGATATCTTATTCATATACTTCAAAAAAGACAAAATCTGCATTAATCTGCAAATCATACTTTATACTAGGGGTGGGCACTTTATCCGATACCCGAACTCGTACCCGAACCCGACCCGAAATATCCGAACCGAAATCCAAACTGAAGTAGCAAAATACCCCAACGGGTATTGAGTTATGAGAGTTTGGATATCCGAACCCGAACGGGTATCCGAAGATAACTGAACATATGTATATATACCTATTTATTCCTAGTTTATTTATCTCATTTTATTAAAAATATTTATATTAATGTTATATATAATTTAAGATCAGATAATATACATATAATTTAAAAAAAAAAAATTTGTTACTCATTTAAAATGCATATTAAGCTTCTTATTTCCTATTTTAAACAAAATTTGCATCCAAAATTCAAAAATAACAAACAAAATAATTTTTTATTTTCAATAATTTATTTTCAAAATTATTAATCGTCTAACTTATTAAAAATTTTAAAAACAGTCAAGTTAATAGTTAAATTTTAAATAAATGAAACTTAAGTAATAAAGAATTTGAAATTTTCTTTCAAAATCTAAATATCTGAACCCGACCCGAAATAACCGAACCCGAACTAAAAATATCCGAACCCGACCCGATATGTAAAAATACCCGAACGGGTTCTATACCCCAACACCGAAATACCCGAAAACCCGAAATACCCGACCCGAACCCGAACGGATACCCGAACGCTAGGGGTGGGCACTTTATCCGATACCCGAACTCGTACCCGAACCCGACCCGAAATATCCGAACCGAAATCCGAACCGAAGTAGCAAAATATCCGAACGGGTATTGAGTTAGGAGAGTTTGGATATCCGAACCCGAACGGGTAATACCCGAACCCGAACGGGTATCCGAAGATAACCGAACATATATATATATATACCTATTTATTCCTAGTTTATTTNTACCCGAACTCGTACCCGAACCCGACCCGAAATATCCGAACCGAAATCCGAACCGAAGTAGCAAAATATCCGAACGGGTATTGAGTTAGGAGAGTTTGGATATCCGAACCCGAACGGGTAATACCCGAACCCGAACGGGTATCCGAAGATAACCGAACATATATATATATATACCTATTTATTCCTAGTTTATTTGTCTCATTTTATTAAAAATATCTATATTAATGTTATATATAGTTTAAGATCAGATAATATACATATAATTGTAAAAAAAAATTTGATTTGTTACTCATTTAAAATGCATATTAAGCTTCTTATTTCATATTTTAACAAAATTTGCATCCAAAATTCGAAAATAACAACCAAAATAATGATTTTTATTTTTAATAATTTATTTTCAAACTTATTAATCGTCCAACTTATTAAACATTTAAAAAAGGTTAAGTTGATAGTTAAATTTTTAAATACATGAAACTTAAGTAATGAAGAATTTGAATTTTTTTTTTCAAAATCTAAATATCCGAACCCGACCCGAAATAACCGAATCCGAACTAAAAATATCCGAACCCGACCCGAAATGTAAAAATACCCGAACGGGTCCTAAACCCCAATACCGAAATACCCGAAAACCCGAAATACCCGACCCGAACCCGAACGGGTACCCGAACGCCCACCCCTACCGAACGCCCACCCCTACTTTATACTCTCTCTATAGAGGGTTTTCACATTCCATAAAAAGATGAGAAAGAAATAGCACCGCCCAAATTAAAAAGACAAAATGGCTCTTATTGGGAAAATGATTTCGACTGTTCTTTTAACCTTAACCAACGAGCATTATATGCGTTGCATCTACCACATTTAACAACAGCTCATCATTGTTTTTCTCTCAATGATTGATTATTTCTCTATCATTTTCGAGAAAGAACAAAAACTTACAACAATTTTCTAAAGTTGTTTCTGCTTTGTATTCTTTTGAAAGATGAGTCATGTCATGACTCATGAGTACTTTGATTGATTTGCCAATCTAGCACCATGCCATGTCTATATTGTAATTCCCTCATTAGTTTGCTTATTTTGCCCTTTGACATGTCTTAAGAGACGAAAATATTATGGTCAAAATATATTACTGGGGACCTTGTATCAACCCCTTTATTGAAATCAAAGCATCTTTCATATTGATCATATACAGTTACAATTCAATCATCACCACTCATAAACCTTCGAATATGCACTACTTCTATTTCTAATAAAAACAGCTCCCTCAAAGTTGCATCTCTAGTTTATGTAGTGAACATAATTTTAGCTGTAAAGTAAACTACTAAAAATACTTACCTTAGGCATAAAGTTATTTATGCAACATGTAAACAAAAAGTATCTTGGAGATTACTATTTGTAAAATAACTGTAGGCTAAATTATATTTATGTATAAATCTATTTACTCTCTACTAATAATTAATAGAACTATGTGTTCGCAGTTTTTTTATCCTAAACTACCAATTTAGTTAGGTTCAGTTAGGTAAATAGCTTTAGGAAATTTTTCTTATTTTAATTATTTGTTGTAAGAAAAAAACCCACAGAAACATCGCGTAATCGCGGAATCGCGGAAATAATAGTTAAGTTGCGGAAAAAATTAATTAAGTCGTGGAAAAATTTAAAATTTGCGGAATGGCGGAATATATATTAAATTGATTAAAATATTTTATATGGTTTTTAATTTGTTATAAAAAACAACTAGTAATAATTAAACTAATTATTACAAAAGTGAAAACAACTAAAATTNGGAAAAAATTAATTAAGTCGTGGAAAAATTTAAAATTTGCGGAATGGCGGAATATATATTAAATTGATTAAAATATTTTATATGGTTTTTAATTTGTTATAAAAAACAACTAGTAATAATTAAACTAATTATTACAAAAGTGAAAACAACTAAAATTTATTAAAAACATTTTAGTTTTTATTATAAATATCTAACATATTTTTGAATACATTTTAAAAATAGATTTTTTTAATATATAAATTATAATAGAACTTTATTTACAACATAATTATTTATCATTAAAAATTATTGATATGTATTTTATATTTTAAGATAGTATTAGCATATAATTTAATAATATGAAAATATTAGTTTTTAAATCTTTCCACCATAATCTACTAAAACTCACTTTTCCACTTAATAAAATTTCTCTTTATATTTTTGTCAGCAAAAACGCAAACTTGCGTTTTCGCGTTTTTTTTTCATTCCGCAACATTTTGTCGATTGGCAAAATTCTTGCGGAATCGCGTTTCATAAGCCATTCCGCCATTCCGCATGGTTACCAATCAATGCCCATATGCCTCTCTTTGTTTGCCAAACGATAGTGAGGCGTAAGGCGTAGCATTTTAAAATAAAACTTATACATAAGTTGAAGAACCTTACGTCCCCCCACCCCATCTATATTGATTACATTACAACAACAAAGAGAAATGACACAGATTCATACATGAATCTACTTAGCGTCTGTAGGGGAATCTGATGGCTTAGGTGGAGCATCCTGTTGAGCCGGAGCCTCGATACTCTTGGTACGTTGTAGCGAAAGAGACCGGTGCATCCTACATCGAAAAGAACCGGGGTGAGTGGTTGGTGAGCAAAGGCAGTTTGTCTTGTTGATGCTCGTTTGACGGGTCAGCCCACCTGAGCCCACTTCGGGCTGGCGTGGACTGCTATCGCCAGGAATATCAATCTTCATGATCCTTTCGTCTTTTACCATTTGTTGAACCGTCCTCAACTTTTTTTGGTTTTCATCAACAAGCAAAAAACACTATTAAGAGTTGTAGTAATAATAGAAACCATTTACAAAAATGTAACATTTTCCTTAATTAAGAGAAGCCCATTTTCAAAAAAAAAAAATTATTAAAGAGATCATATGATACCTCTTCATTTTTATTCTTTGGTGAACTAATTAAGCTTTTTTATGTTTGTTTAGGAAATAGATTTTGGATTTTGAAGTTTATTTTAGTTTCTTATATTTCTTTTAGTAAACGCTTTTACATTTTAGTATAAATAAAACAAAGATCTTGTTCTCATCCAAGCGAGATGGTGAGCTTAGAGTGTTATCGAGCTTTAAAAGAGAAATATGTTTTTGAGCTTTAATCTTGACTTTGCAAAGAAGAATGATTCAATATTTTTGTTGTTGTTATACCTTTAGTTTGTTTCTTCTAAGTTAAAAGAAACATATACTCTAGCTCTCCGGACTAAACATGAATACTGTAGACACTTGAGGCTTTACAGAAATATCACGAGATTTAATTTGCGATGACATATAAACTGAGATGCAACTAAAGCGGGACTGGAGGATGCTAATAGATGAAAATTTGAACCTAGCAAAAACAGTGTGGCTCCATCCTAACCAGACCATTGAAGAGGTGGAAGCAAGAAGAGGAAAATGAAGTCCCAGACTAAGAACATAACAGGTAACTAAAAGGGAATCAAGAATAAAGGATATACCTCTTTGTGGATCAACTGAAGCGACCTAGAATGTAGCTTTTCTGAAACGCTCTATCTTGTTCCAAATTTATATTCTCTCCTTTATTCTTTTGGGTCATCACGGGAATGATGGTGCACTACATCAAATGCCCACTGTATCAGTTATCTTCCATAATGTTTCAACCACTCTTATCCCAAAAGCCCATCATTGAGTGGTCCCTCTCCTTTATTGTTTTTAGCGGTGTTTCTAAACCCAAGACCGGGTGCGATAATGAATTGGATCGTCGTGGTGGAACTGGATTAGTTGATGAAGTGATAAATATATTTTTAATGGAGATTGTTTAAGATAAGTTGTATGCAAATATTCCAAAGATGCTCAGAGTTAGACGCTTTATAAATGATATAATGTTTAAATAGACGCCTAAGCTGATCTATTGATTTTTCGAACGTTTAACCTATTTTAAAAATGATGGTTGTATGTAGCAGAAGCTTAAGCTATATAGTATTTATAAAATAAAATAAAAATCTATGAATTGTAAACTTTGGTTTTGTATAAGTAAAGTTAAGTACGCATTAAATTCAAGTTTCATATGTTCACAAAATATCCTAAAATTAACTTTTGTTGGCAAAGGATGCATTTCTTTCTAAGTAATTGTATGACTTACAGATGTTCTCCCATAAGTCGAATTGTTCACAATTAGGTAATAAATTATGTTTTAGTATCACAAACACCTAAAAACTTTACCTAATTTATTATGACAAAATCCTTAAGCACCATTCAAGATGAAATAGAAAAAGAGTAAAATGGTTTAAAAATTATATGTTTCTCTTATTAACAAAATTACAACCATACATAAACACACCAAACTATTGTGTAGTCTCAAAGCAACTGAGTGGCAACTTCATGGGCGTCAAAAACAAAGCACAAATGAAAGTGGTATGGTCAAGAGTGGGAACGAAACATAGTAAACGAGATATCTTTCTAATATTCTATCCATTTCATACTAAATATCATAATAGAACAAAATATTTAATTATAAAATAAGTATTGTTTTCAGTTTCTAATACAAAATTTAATTAATTCTACTATATAATATTTTTTTATTAGTTAAATTATAATTAGATGTATAAATATTATGTTTTTATATAAAAATATACAAAATTAATTATTTTAATTTATATATAAAATATATAAAATAATATTTATAATAAAATATAGGGAGTTTAAGAGCATCATGATCCTACTACCCATTTGACATGTTTATTTTTTCTTTTTTACTTTTTTTTTGACTTAAAAAAAAATTAGGAAAAAACTAATTACGGATCGCTAGGTGTTAATAGAACCCGCGAACAAAAAAAAATGCAGCTGTTATTTAGCATTCAGAAGCATCAGATATTTATGTTTTTATGAAAAAGATGCTCTAATGCGTTTGTATGTTGATTAATGCCTGGTCAAAGAAAACAAAATATATCTCACTAGAACCTTCGGGTTGACCAACGACTTGAGTCCACATGGCAGCCTTTTGGTCTCTCAACGTTCAAAAACCTGACGCTTTCCTTATTTCTGTTTAAAGGAAAGGTCAAACTTCGTAGAAATATCGTCGCAAGCGTTTCTAACACGTAACCACATTTCACCGAAAACACCGTCCTTGTCTCATTCCTCACGTTTGTTTATAAAACAGAGAGAGATAAGATCAAGAAAGAGTAGTAGTCGTCTCTTTGTATAATATTTATTTCTCAAACCAATTCAGTGTTGCTCACCAACCTGATTTCTCTTCTACTTTCACACACATCTCGTGTTAACAGAGTTGTATAAAGGGCTTTCTTTGTGTGTCTAGGGTTTTTGTGTGGTGGAAAATGGAGAACAAGATCAATAATGGAAACGATGATGGTCCAAAACATAGCCAAGTGGTGAAGGTAAAGAGAGAGTTTGAGAAGATAAGCCAGCCATCTCTGCAGCAACCGGAGATGAGAAGGGTCCTCTCCGAGATCACGAGGCGTCAACGTTCACGTTCACCTCTCGGCCTAGGAGAGAGATCTATTTCCGTTGGGAACTGATAGAAGAAAGAGATAGAATAAGAAGAGGAGGTTCTTAATAGTTGCGGACTTTTTTTGTATATATATGATGTGTCCATGTATGCAAATACTCATTGTGTTTTGAGTATGACCGTTGAATCTCCCTTCTTTGTAGAGTAAGCCCTTCCCTTGGTCCAGTCTCATGTTTGTAAAATATGTTGGTAGTTTCGTTCTTTACAAAAGAATCTTGAATCAACCCCCAAACTCAACAACCAAGAGCGTATAGCCAATGGTTCGTTCCAGTGTTAGAGCACTGGTCATCCAGACAATAACTAAAGTCAAAAGATAAGAATCGAACCTAAGAAAGAAACACGAGAGGGATCGATCTGAACATAGCACAAACAAAAGTAAGAGCTTCCTCAAACAAAACAAAACAAGAACTCTATTCAAGAAACAAACCATGTCACGATCTATGAATCTGGCTTTACCTGACATGCATGTGAGAGATATAGTCACTTCTTAAGACAAAAAAAATAATATATTTATTGACCCGACCTGCTATAGAACTCAAAGCCTTGAAAACAAAGGAAACAAAGCACATATGGAGCTTATGAGTTCTCTTGTGTCAAAGATGATCCAATTTGAAGCATTAGAGGATAAACTGGGCTGAACTCTTTCTCCCCTCTTGACCTGATCTTCACTGCATAATCATCCAACGTCGCTTTTACCCCTTTCCAGATCTGATCCTCTTTTTGGTTATCAAGCCACAGTGAGTACTGCTTAGGACTCAGTCTGTTCTTCTGCATCGGTGACTCTAACTCATCCGGGCCTCTCGTGTAGAGATGGTGCAGGACGATACTCGGCGGCAGATCCTGGATGAGAGGAGACGATCCCATCTCAGATGTTTCCAAGAAAATCAATGGCCTAAATGCTCTAAGAGCTCTGTACGGTGCACCGAGTTGCTCCACAGGGAACAGATTCTGTCCCACCGCGAGTTCCAGCTCGGCCATGTCTCTAGCCATCCTGAGTTTTCCCCATTCTGATAGTGGTCTCACGAGGGAAGCATGCCTGATGTAGAAGATCAAAACCCTTGAAGCCATTTGTCTTGCAAGTCTAGTGCAGATTGATTCTGTCCCTGCAGTGTTAGCTGTTGCTGCGGAAGGCAAAAGTCTAGATAGGAACTCCTTGCGGAAGTGGAGGATCGATCTCTGCAACTCTTCCATGTATGGGGAAGTGTTGTCGTCCAAGGCAGCATCATCAACACCAAAGTTTTGATCGTGGATTTGAAGTATGCATGACTCGAGTTGGTCTCGCATTGCTTTGAACAGAGGTGTAACTGGCTCGCATGCCGCGGCATATATCGCACCCAGATGAGGAGACAGTACATCAGCAGCGATACTGGGAAGGTCCGCTACCATGGATGAGATATGCGTGTGGATTCCTTGCAGATGCTGAGATAGTGTGAAGTTTCTGATCTGTGTTGAAGTTGCAGGTCCTGTAATCTGGCGCGTCTCAGGGCCTGTAGAAATCTGTCATACAAAAGTAGATGCGGTACACGTCAAGCATAAAAGCATAAATATGGTCTAACTACTCTTTACTGCTTAACCCCAATTATATATCATCCAAAGTAGTAGCTAAAACATGTACATGTTCATAGCTCTACTTTGTTAAGCGGGAACTATAGTAGCCACACGAATTATTAATTTGTACACATTCTACCCTTAACATGTGCGTGCAACCTTATCAATTCTTATATAATGAAACACACATTGTATACAAGCAGAACCTGATGCCATAGTCTTCAGAGTTTGTAGATTTCATACTCAGTGAGCTATCTCGACTAAGGACAATGGGTACCATATTCCATATACTACCAACTGAGAAGAAAAATAGAAGAGAAAGAAGTTTAAACATACCTGGCACTCAGCTCGTTGAGCTAGGTTACTAAGGGCCTTGCCTATCTCACGCAAAACTAAAAGAGTCAAACGACCATCTGGATGAACAGCCTCGATCTCGTCTTGAATGTGTGATAACACCTGCGAGATCTGTTCTTTGGAAGGTAAACTCCCACGGCTCGACATAGGGAATATCGAGTTCACAAGATCTGACAACCGTCCAAAGCATAGGGATAAGAAAGCAGTCTGGAAAATTGCAATGCATGAAACCATTTGTTCTTTCCTTTCTGAATCAACCGCAGGTAACACTCCTTTCACATCGGTGTCGCGAGAGATCCTTTCAAGAAGATTTTCAATCATAGACACAAGCTTCGGATATCCCATGGTGAATATTTCTTTAACGAAACTCGAAGCTGTGAATGCTGACTTCATTTGGCTAGTAAACGCCTTCACAAGTGCATCCCAAACTCTGTCTGTTAACATTGAGTCACCTTCCTGTTGCATATAAACATTTCATATGTCAGTAATAAAAGCCTGAAATTTAAATCAATCAATAGTCCTGACATCACAGAAGCACATTACAAAGAATTCATTTTTTTTATGCAAAAACATGGAAGGATCATCCACTAAAGTTTCGATCAAACATCAATCATGTTTCCTAAAAGTGACAAGAATCTTCCCATCCACATCCAAGAACACACTCTATTTCTCTCAATAAACCACTGCAGCTTAAACTAACTAGTAAACCAAAATAAAAGGCTGAGAACTAAATCAATCAATAGCCTTGACATCACTTAAAAAAGGTTCCAAAGGCTTCATTTTTATGCAAAAACATGGAAGGATCATCCATTAAAGTTGATCAAACATCAACCATGCTCCCTAAAACTGACAAGAATCTTCCCATCTACATCAAATAACACTCTCTCTTTCTCCCATTAACTCAATGCAGCTTTAACTAACGAGTAAAAAGGCTGAAATCTAAATCAATCAATAGCCTTGACATCACATAAACAAGTTCCAAAGACTTCATTTTTATGCAAAAACATGGAAGGATCATCCACTAAAGTGACAAGAATCTTCACATCCACAACCAAGAACACTCTCTATTTCTCTCAATAACCTAATGTAGCTTCTTTAACTATTCATATACCTTGATGACTTCATCAAGAAGAAGGACATGCGTAAACGGATCCCTCTTCTTAGACAACACACGCTGCAAATGCCACACAGCAACAACAACCTTATACAACTGATCCATACAACTCCCCATCCTCTGCCACAACGCCTCCCTAACCTTCCCCCCACCACCAATATTCGGCGCTCCACTAGACCTAATCCCACCCGGTCCAAACCCCCCACCACCACCACCAGACGTAACCGCCTTCATATCCATCGCAACCCCCACACTCTTCACACCCATCCCCTTATACTTATTCACCAACTGATCCACCGTTTGCTTCAACTCTCCAAGGTTATAGAAAACCTGCAAACCAGTCCCAACCTCCGCTTGATTCAGCCCTTCCATACCTCTCTCCAACACCTTCATCGCCTCAGATCTCAATTTTTCACCAATCTCTTTAACGAACTTAACCTCCTCGTCGACAACCTCGATCCCGAACAGATCGTACTCCCTACACATCGCCAAGATCTCGAAATGGAGCTGCGCGGATTTCGTGAGATCGACCTTCTCCGGATCCGATCCATCCGTCAGATCGCGAAGCTTCTTCGAGAGCCGCAACGCGCGCACCGAGTGAGATAGCAGCTCCGTCGCGGAGTGGAGATTCGTTAGCTGAGTGGATTTGGATCTGATGGACCGCACTGGCTCCGAGAGATCGGATCGGATCTTGCGGATCGAGGATTGGAGGGAGGAGACGGAGGAGCGGAGGGAGGAGAGGGAGATCTCGGCGTGGGAGAGGGAGGAGAGCTGGGAGAGGAGCTCCGGGTGGCGGGAGACGACGTCGTTGCGGAGCTGGGCGTCGAGGAGGCGGATGGCTTGGTGGAGACGCTCGGCGGTGGAGGCGGGGGAGCCGGAGGCGAGTGCGGCGGAGGAGAAGGAGGAGGAGGAGAAGGATGGGGAGAGGAATGGGGAGAGGATGGGGTCGTTGGCGAAGGAGTCTAGAGGTGAGGAAGAGGAGGGTTGTGGTGGTGCGGAGAGTGGAGAAGGAGGAGGAGGGTTTTTGAAGGTGGAGAGACGTTGTAGAGATGGAGAGGATGATGATGGTGAAGATGGAGGTAGTGCCATCATCTCTTTCGCTCGTTGTTTTTTTTTTTTGTTCTTTCGATGAGTCGCGCGTAGTAGTGAAAACTGAATTAGTAATGGAACTGAATTGGATTTGGCTGTGATTTTGAAAAGAGTAATAATCTCAAATAATTCATATATTTGATTGCATGTATTATTCGACGTATTTTCAGAAGTATATAAAACTGAAATATAATTTATCATAACCGAAATGAGTTTATCTAAAAAAAGTCACAAAACTCAATATATATCTATACTATTATTTGCGAAGTAATTTTTCGCAACACATCTCTCACGTTAAAAGTTAGAGCGGTTAATATCGTTTTACCCTTAATGAATAAAATATATAAATTAGACATAAAATAAAAACGAAATTGAAATTTATTTGATCAGATAAATGATTTAAATTAATAATAATAATAAGAATTATCCATAATATAAATATATCTTTAAAAAGAAAAAAATAATTCATATATATATTGTGTTGTTATCCGGAAAATATATTTTAATAAAAAATCAAAACAGAAAACACATAAATAAATACTCATAAAAAAACTTTTCAATTGTACATAATTGAAACGAGAAAATTGAAAAATTTATAATACGTAATTATTTTCTAATTAAAAGAATATAATAATATAACATAATGATATATATATATATATATTTGTGAAGTAATTTTTCGCCTTTGGACTCTCACGTTAAATTAAATTGATTTTATATTTTATAAAGTATAACATTAAACATGAATTAATCATAATAAAATAAAAGATCATTCAAAAAGAAAAACAAAATACGATGTTGACAAAACAAATTCAAAAACGAAATTGATATTTATTTGATCAGATAAATGATTTAAATTAATAATAATGATAAGAATTATCCATAATATAAATATATCTTTAAAAAGAAAAAAAATAATTCATATATATTGTGTTGTTATCCGGAAAATATACTTTAATAAAAAATCAAAACAGAAAACACATAAATAAATACCATAAAGAAACTTTTTTAATTGTACATAATTGAAACGAGAAAATTGAAAAATTTATAATACATAATTATTTTCTAACTAAAAGAATATAATAATATAACATAATGATATATATATATATATATTTGTGAAGTAATTTTCGCCCTCTGGACTCTCACGTTAAATTAAATTTATTTTATATTTTATAAAGTATAAAATTAAACATGAATTAATCATAATAAAATAAAAGATCATTCAAAAAGAAAAACAAAATACGATGTTGACAAAATAAATTCAAATATATTGTATTATTATCCAAACTAATATTATTCTTTCTGTAAGATCAATTTTTGAATGTATATTTATTGATTCGATTTATCAAATTGAAAGATAAGTTTCTATATTGTTTTTATCAATTGAGAATAAATGAAACAGATTTTAGATTTTGTTTTCAAAGTTTTAAAGGGGAAAAATAGATTTTTTTTAATTTATGAATAATTTTATCATGTAAAAACGTTTAATGTTCTAGGTCTAATTTTTTGGATGAAAATAATCATTTATTTTGATGATTTTTTAAATTATTTTAAAAATAATTAAGCCCACATGTGCGGGCAAAACACCTAATAACCTTTAATAAAACGTAAAAGTAAGCTTGAACAGTATAAGTCGAGAACCGAACTGGAAAAAGAAAACAATGTTTACAAATAGCCGAATAATTCTTATATCTTTGAAAGTGAAAAACCCAAAACAATACAAAAATTAAATGGGTATATAAATATCCAAAAACGTTTATATATTTAAAATTAATTAGTTTTAGATTTGAATTTATCAAATATTCTAAAATCTTATTTACAAATGAATTACCCAACAAAATGATCCAAAATATTATTTTAATTATCTAAAGTATTTGAAAGTGTCTTGTGGAATTTATAGTTTGATAGGATGTTCACGAGTGAAACATGAATCGTTAGTAATGGGATTCGATATTCGTACACTCCCATCTCACTAGAATTAAGGAAAACAATTATATCTGGCTTCATGTTTTAAGATTGTTGTAATCGTCTTTAGAATCGTTTATTTTATTAATTTCGTTTTTATTATATTGTCTATGTAATTTTGGTTTTTCGGCTTCATTAATTATAGGTCTGGGTATTCGGATACCGGATCGGGTATTTCGAATATCGGATATTTTGGATATGGCAAAATAGGATCCGATCGGCTATTGCAAAATTTCGGATCGGATTCGGTTCGGTACTTGTCGGATCCGGATAGTTTCGGGTATATCCAAAGTAACAGAAAAAATCCGGTTCCGGTTCGGATTATCTTAATTTTACCCGATCATAACCAAAAATATTTGTTTCTAATCCGATTTACCCGAATCATTTAGAGTAATAAATAAATGAGAGAATTCTAAAACCAAATAGAACAAGTCTTAAACAAATTTCAAACAAACAACAAATCTAATATTTCAATCAAAGATAACAACCCATCACTTTAAGAAGCTACGAAACTTAAAGAATAATTGAAAGTTCGAAATAAATCTATAAGAAAATGAAAAAAAAAAAAGATCAACAACATTTGGTATATTGCTAAACACATTTCACCTACTTTAAAAAAAAAAAGTACGATCACAAGAACTTCAAGACATTTACAAGAGAAATACCATGTGAATCTATGTTTAATGCCTTAATGAGATAAGAGTCGGATAGTTGCGGATAATTATTCGGATCTCGGGTAATACCCGATCCAACCCGGTACCCGAAACATAAATAAAAACATATCCAATCGGGTATTTCGTCATATCCGGATCCGATCCGAAACCCGATTTTTCGGATCGGTGCCGGTTCGGATCTTCGGATCCGGGAAATATGTCCATGCCTAATTAATTATATGAATCAGAAGTAAAATGGACCTAAATTTTTAGTGGATATTGTTCGGTTCTTAACATTGTTATGCCTACCTAGAAGACTGAAGACGCAAAATCCAATCCATCTCGATGGCCGAGGCCTGTTTGCCTATTTGTTCCCTCAATTCATCGACTCAAGTGTAGGGGTTAACAAGTTGCTCAAAAAAAAAAAAACAAGTGGCATAATATAACCTTTTTTTTGGGTAGGAAGTGGCATAATATAACTGGAAAGCTTAGTCACCGTCTTTCTTTAATAGCGTACGGCACATGCCACGTAAACGCCGTCGTTTTCCAAAACAGCGTTCTGCACGTTAAACAAAAACCCCCCCTCTCTCCTCTGTTCGTCTCTTCTCCCATTGATCCTACTCCTTAACGTATGACAATGGCGGTTAAGTCCACCGTGAGGAAACTCTCCTTCGAGATTCTCAGCTCCTTTGACGATGATTCACTCTCCTCAATCCCCCGATCCAGCTCTGATCCGATCACCGGAAAACGAAGAAGACATAGGAAGAAGAAAAACAAACTCGAAACTATTCCGGAGAATGGCGATTCTCAACTCTCGACGATTGTCGACGGAAACTCCGAGAAGTTTGAAAACAGATTGAATTACTCTGGCGGTTGCTTGGTAACGGAGCTGAGACAGAGGAATGTCAACGGGAGTAACGATGAGCACGCGGAGGAAAAAGTAGAGAATCAGTTACCGAGAAGTAGTGAGACTAATGGGAGGAGACTTGACACTGAAGCTTCTTTGGACTGGAAACACCTTATGGCTGATGATGATCCTGATTGTAACTTCCCAAACTTTTACATTGTGGCAGTTATGAATTATGATGATGCCTTTGATATTCAAATACTTGTGTTCTGTTATTCTTGTTTGTGATCAGCTCTTAGTGCTGAGACAAGGTCACCTATGAACTACTTTATGGGTGAAATCTATGGTGGTGGGGTCTCGTTAGGGAGCACAACGACTACAGGGAATGATATTGAACGCGAGAGAATATATGATACGATCTTCCGCTTGCCATGGCGATGTGAAGTGGTAAAAAACTGGCTCTTCCCCTTTTAGCTAGGTGTGTATCTCACTTGGATAAGTTTGTATGGGTGGGTGATGGTTTTTTTTTTACATTTGAGAGATTTTTTAATTGCAGCTTATAAATATTGGATTTTTTGTCTGCGTCAACTCATTTCTGTCACTGTTGGCAGTCATGCCCATAAGAGTCATGCTGGTAGTCTGGGGTGCTTTTAAGAATAGGTGAGTTATGTTTTTATATTCTTCCCTTGGTTGAATAATGCTATGAACTAGTTTGTATTACCATAATCTGCATCTTTCTAGATTATTCTGCTATTTCCGGTATGAGAAAGTAAGTTAATAACATTTTGTGTTAGGCAGTTCAGGAGGCCTTCCTCGTCGGAGCTGTCTGATCTTGCTTGTTTTCTAGTTTTGGCTTCTTGTACCATTCTTCTTGGGAGAACAGGTATAGTAAAATGCTCTTTGGTTTGGTTACACATCTGCATTTGGTACAATGGGTTGCATAGGGCAGTACTTATTTATTGGATGGACAAGCTCAGCAATTCTGTTTAAATAATGGATTTGTGTTTTCAGCTCATCAAAGTGATGATAATTCTGGAAACCATTTCTGATGTGTTTTTTTTTGTCTCTTTGTTTTGTTTCCCACAGATATCAGCCTGATTTACCACATGATTCGTGGTCAAAGTACCATAAAACTATATGTGGTTTATAATATCTTAGAGGTAAATTTTTCAGCCCTTTGTTTCACTTTTCTTCAGTGTATCTGTTACAGGATTTAGTGTTCACTGCTTCTGTCCAGTTTACCTTCTACTCTATCCAACTAGTACTAATACAAATATTGTGATTCAGATATTTGATAGACTCTGTCAAAGTTTTTGTGGAGATGTATTTGGCGCCCTATTTAGTTCTGCAGCGGGACTGGCTACTTCCCCTCCTGAGAAGCTGAGGTTTTTCACTTGGAGATTCGTTTCTGACCTTGCATTAACTATGGCTGCGTCCAATATCCTCATTACTTGATTGCTAGCTTGATTTATGTCAACTACTTGCGCATCTTTGTTCTGTTTTTTCCTTAACTGTCTTCACTTCTCCATTCATTCATTCTATTAGCTCAGGCAATTACGCTGTCAACTTGCATTGTTGCTCACAACAATGCCTTGTTGGCACTTCTTGTGTCACATAACTTTGCTGAGATCAAGAGCAGTGTCTTCAAGCGTTTCAGCAAAGACAACATTCATGCTCTGGTATATGCGGGTAAGCTTTCACTCCATTCCCTTTGTGAACTCTTGAATAACTGTACGCAGCCTCTTACAGCTTTGATCAATATCAGCGTAGTTCCTTCTCAACCACCTCTGACTGGTTTCCTTACAATTTCTCTACCAGATTCAGTAGAGAGATTCCACATATCGGCCTTTCTGGTGTCTGTTTTGGCGCAAAATATTCTGGAGGCTGAAGGTCCATGGTTTGGAAACTTCATCTACGTAAGTGTACATAATTCAGTGGTAGTCATAAATTTACATACAAGCCTCTTTCCAGGTTTCTCATTAGTAATTTTACTTGGATTCTGCAGAATGCTAGTATGGTCTTCTTCTGTGAGATGATGATTGACATCATCAAGCATTCATTTCTTGCCAAGTTCAATGACATCAGACCTATAGCCTACTCTGAGTTTCTTCAAGATCTCTGCGAGCAGGTACAAATGATATAAGCTTATCTCTCTCTTGTTGTTCCATTGCTGTGTCGAGTGTTGTTTTTCTTACATATTATTTGTTAGACCTTAAACATCCGCCCAGAAGATAGAAAGACAAATCTAACCTTCGTTCCCATTGCACCCGCTTGTGTGGTAAGTTCCTCATCCCTTTTGACCTTAAAAACTCATGTGTGACCTGTCAATAAGGAAAAAAAATAACTGCAAAAGTGTGTTTTGGGGCTCAGGTGATCAGAGTACTGACTCCAGTATATGCAGCACACTTGCCTTGTCCCCTCCCATGGAAAGTGTTGTGGATGGTCATCTTATTCGTCATAACATATATAATGCTCACAAGTCTCAAAGTTCTCATCGGCATGGGACTTAGGAAACATGCAACTTGGTACATTAATAGATGCCGAAAGAGAGACTCCTCCCATCTGCACAACGATTAGCCTGGCCCTTAAAAACTACAGAGAATTTAAGAAAGGATTGCATGTGTTTAACACCTCAGCAGGATGGGGTTTGCAGGAGTGTGGAGCTGCCTAGTTCCAGTTTACAACTTTGGTTTGGGGTATGAGATCATCATTGTGATTCTTATACATCTTTTATATTGGATGAAGCGATTTTGGTATCATTAGGCAAATATATGTACAAAGAGACCTCATGGATCATTTTGGGAAAAACAAAAGGTATCACAGGATATAGTGATAATCTTCCTCCATTACACTTTATTATTCACTAAAACAAGATTTAGAGAGATTTGAAAGATGAGTCCTTATTATCAGGGGCCAAAGCGTTGATTGCCAACTTCATACCACCAGAACAGTCACCAGGAGCTGCTGTTCCGATGAAATAGTTACCACCGTAAGCAAGTTGGATCGTACCCTCGCCGGTATTATTTTCTATGTATCCCTCGTTTGCATGTTTCATAACCGGTGTGGTTTACAAACAACATTTTATCTAATTGGACTGTGCTTATTTACGTTAGGTCGTGGATGTTGTGCTTTAGACCGTGTATGTTGACTTTAAATCAAAATGACCTATGGGGTCGTAAATATGTAGAAATGGTTAGGTAATTAGAAATGTGTAGAGACAACTAATTAAATTGAAATAATTATACAAGCGGAAATGGCTAAGTAAGAAAATGAAAACAGATTGATAGGTTGCTAGTATAGATTTGTGGGTTGGCAATTGTTATTATAGCTTACCAATGTTTAATATTCAAACTAGACCATGACCCGTCCGACCGGGCGGGTGTTTTGTTTTGTTTTTTTTTTTAATTTTTAGGTTTATACTAAATGATATAAATAAAAAATGAAGTATCAATTAAATGGTTACAAATTACTTATGGATTTAACTTTGATAGAGGAATACCGAAAAGTTTGTTGTTTGATCCGCGCAAGTGTTTGTTTTTATATATTTTATAAGTGATAATATATATTTTTAAATTTACCCGTTTAAATCATTATTTAAAATGACATTTTAAACACACAATTTTATAGTTTATAGTAAGTAATTTTATTTTATCTTATAAATTATCATTGTGTCATACTTATTTTAAAAATATGACCCATATATCTGCACAAATGTTTTTAAAATATATGGTCCTATCATTGTGTCATACTAAATTGTTTTATTTACTATTTAAAATATATGGTCCTATATATTTCTACTTTTTAAATTTTATTATTATGAATTTACCTTGAACTATTATTTATATAAAAATATACATAACATGATATGTTTATATTAATCTTTTTATTATGTATTATATAAATGTTTTTTGTGACTTTTATTTTAGTTATTACTTATAAATAATAAAAATACAACTATATATCTTTGAAAAAAATATTGTTCATTAACTACTTAAAGATATGTAGATAATTAATAAGAAAAAAAAATCCTAAAAGGTAGGTTAATTAATATTGGAATTAATTATTATGTATATGGAATTAGTAAAACAATTTCTATATAATTTATTTATTTAATTACGAAAGGTATATATGAAAATAATTATTTTCATTAATTATTGTTGCCATAATTTATTTTAGTTAAAATTTAATTTTGGAAATGCTTTAATTAAAGTGAAAAGACAAAGAATCCTATAAGGTAGGGTAATTAATAACTTCAGTGGCATAACATTGTAAATAATTAGAAAAACTCAGGGGTATTTTATATGGATACTTCTCTTTTAATAATATAGATTCCTTAATAAAATTTCACTATTTTTATGTTTATTTGAATAAAAATGATTCTTTTCTGATTTTTCAACAATTTTCTAAACTTTTCTGATTGTTTTTAACAGGCCTTAGCCTTACGTTACTATTGGTGTAGTCGTTGTCCTACGTCCAACAATATTTGGTCACAATAAACATAAAATAACCACAAATTTAAGTCTTATTCCCAAAAGAAATGACAACATCAAAATCCTTCACCGCTTCCGAGCACAAACAAGGTACCCTTGAGTAGGTTGAGATTCATTATTTATTACGAAACATAGATGATAACTTGAGAGAAACATAGATGATAACTTCCAATGCATTAGATCAAATAGAAACACTATAAGGAACACCCATACCGGTTACACCTGGTTCAGAAATGGGCTTCAAAAGCTCATACTTAACAACACCTGCTCCAGTTCTATTCTTTAGAGAAACATCCACGTTCCTCTCATCTATCACTCCTTCTAGGTATTGGAGCCTTCCTTTGAATCGTTCATACGCAGCATAGATGGAAGGATCGTGGGCCCAAGAAGCTTCAGGGTTTTCTCCCAGGTACTCTTCATCTGGTGAATGTGATGATAGAAGATCCAGAGTCACCATCACTTTCGTCGCCTGCTTCTGCGACGGGTATGTCTTAAGCATGGTCTTCTCTGGCGCCTCAAAGAACTCTTTTAGCTCTTCCTCTGTCGGCTCTTCCACTGGCATTTTTATCCTTGCTGTGGTTGGTCGGTTGGGAAAGTACCCTCCATACCCGTACTGTCCAAAGTTTACAGCTGCATGGTGACCTGAAGCCACCCATGCAATAGTAGTCACCACGCCAATCAAGTCATCTTGTGTTTTGAGGACAGGCCACCATGGTTCGTCTTTTTTGTCTCCATGTCCTACGTTCTTCACTTCATTCCACCATCCTTGGAGTTCCTCATCCAACAAGACCAGTTCCGCTTCTGGATAATAGTGATTCACATAGTCTTTTACCCATTCCTTAAGTGCATCCCACAACATTAGACCGTCATTTGCAAATGGGTAATCTGGTATGGTCAGGCGTACCCCATGTTTCGCTGTCTCATCTTCCACAGCCAGCCCCCTTTAATATCACAATTTTTTTATGTAAAAAAATTGTTAGCATGGGGTATATTATGATCAATCAATGAATTTAAATCAATTATCAATTTTTTTGTTCCATCAAATTAAAAAAAAAAAATAGTTTAAACTAGTACATTCTAAAATATCGGTAGAATGTCTAAGATTTTGATTTCAATCATTTATTCATCGAATAACATTAAACTTTAAATAAGACCTATAAATATCGTATTCAATAACTCTAGATTTTAAATAGAGTTTAGAATAATTGTTATTCGATTGTATTTAGATTTAAACTCTATTAAAATACTTAGAAGTAAGTAAGTATAATCTTAGGAATTACGTATACCTGCTGATGAGGTCTGCAGGTAGCCCTTCCCTGTCGAACCTCCATAGTTTATCGTAGACGTCTGAACTTAGGTCTAATGAATACTTTCCGGGCCAGAAAGTAGACTCAATGATCCCACCTGCGTTGATGAGACTTTGGCGTGCACGAGCATTGATCTCCATGGTGTAGCGGAAGTGGGGATGCAAAAGCCTATAGATAGGATGCATGGCACTTAGTTGTCTGTTTGCCGCTATAATGTATGGCTCCATACAGCAATGAGTCCTCAACCTGTAAAATTGTCCATCTCTTAGCAGCAATAACACATACATGTATTGTCTATAACCATATGTTCAATATACCAGTGGGAAACAAGCTGGTGATAACCGGCGTCATGAGAAACAGCGTGAGTCTTAGCAAGACTCCATAGCCAGCAGGAGGTAGCATCATATCCTGGGGTGAATACCTGCCTCCATTGGGGCCTGTTTACATCTTTGGGACGAGTCAACTCAATGGCAACTGGTCTTAGTGTGCTATCATCGCTGAGGAAGAATAGTGATCGAGAAGCATATAAGGTGGTATCCTCCAACTCTCTCACTTTGTTCACATACGGTAGAAGTAAATCATGATAGTCCAACATGAACAATCTCTTGTTATTTAGAGCCTGCATTCACACACATCCATTGATATTTATTCATTATTTATGGAAATATATACTCTATTTGGATGTATTATGGATATATTTTTTCTTTAAACTTGTGGATATATATTAATTTTACCTCATCAAATGACATGACTCCTTTGATTTCTCTTTCCACAATCTCACTAGTAATGAGTGAGTTAGGATCACCATAAACCGCAGGGTCTAGTTTGCTTTTCAATGGCCACTCCTAGAACAACAATGCGATCTTAACTAGCTCGTTTTTTCAGTTTAAAAACCAGAATATGATTTTTTTTCTTCCACCAAATCATGTACGTTTGGATCTTGCTTTATTGCGAACAATCAAAAGAAAAACTACTACAGTACCTCCTTTGTGGAAAAGGTTGTAGTTTTATAATTTTCACACACTTTAAAAATAAAATTGCAATACCAAAAATAACTCTACGTTAATACACATGTTAATTAACAAAAAAGTAAATAAAAAAGTAAAATTGTTATATTTAATAGTTGTCTTAAATAATATAGGCACAATATATAAATGATTTATAAAATTACATTTAGAACACAAAAATACTATATTTGTGAAACAAATAAAAAATCTCAAAACTACTATCTTAATGGAACGAAGGAGTACTAGTTAAAGAGTAAGTAGCTTACTTGAACCAGCTGAAGGCAATAGGGATTAAGGCCTGCAAGTGTCTGGCGAGCAAACTCATCGTCTCGGATCCATGAAAATCTATCCCCTGGATCAAAGTGAATAATACAATAAAGTAATATTAATTGTATAGAATTGGATATAAATATATAATGGATGATTATTAAAAAAATAAAAAAGAGAGAGAGAAAGGGAGCTTGGTACTGTCAACGAGAATAGGGGCTTTAAACTGGAGAATATCATCTTCAGCTTCATCAACAGCTTTGATAAGTCTAGGGATCATAGGTAAAAGGCCAATATCCTTGGGAATCTCAATGCCTTGTTCAAATAGATCTTCTATGGACTTGAAATGTGGGAAGGACATGTTGGGATCGAACAGAGCAGACTCAATCTGTGGGAACAAAGAAGGAAGAGCCGCCAAGACTGCCGTGCCGGCGAATGTAACGCCCTTGACTGTAGTGAACTCCTCGTCTCTCGGGACATAGAAATCCCCATTGCGTTTCTCTGAAAAGGGGTCACTCTTGCATGGCTCGCGACCAGTCTTGCAACGCCTTGGGTATGGGTGAGAGTGGCCTCCCTTAACGGGACGGGCAAGTTCGGGATCTTTGTCAGGATCACCAATATCGTTGTAGACGTCATAATCATAAACACGCTCGAACTTTTCGAATTCACCAGACCGATCACGGTTCTTGCCTTGCAAGGTCTCAAGCTCTTCTTTCCGGAGCTGTTTAAGAGGCTCCGGAGTTTGGAGAGGCAAGTAGGACTTGTTGGAGAAGAATATCCTCTTGGTTGGGTCTACGGACATGGGGGCCACCCACGAGTTACATGTAAAGGTGACGGAGCTGTCTGGTAGCTCAAGCTTTATATCCTTGAGGAAGATCTCTTTAAGGTTCTGGTTTAAAATTCTGATGGCGCCAACCTCTCCAAAGTCTTCGGGCATGTCGAACTCACATTTGTATTGATCATCAGGTCCATCAAACAATACACTTCGTGCGTAAGCCTTCACCGGATCCTTCTCCTCTAGCGTCCCTAACATATGTGTTAATTACTTTGGTTAAATATCATTACCACTATTGATAAATAATATTCACTCCGTTTCAATTTACTCGTAGTTTAAGGGTTTTTCACACAAACTAAAAAACATTTAATTTTGTACATTTTCAACATAGTAGATAAAGTTAATAATTTTTGCATTTATAAAACGACTCTTATTTTAAAACAAAAATTTTAGTATACAACGACAACTGAATTGAAACGGAAAGATTGCATTTTTCTACTTTTTTTTTTACTTCACGTTACAAATTTATATATTATCTTTTTATGAACAAATTTATATACTCAAAATGTGATAGTTTCTTATAAAGATAAAAATAATATGTTTGCCTGATAATTGTACTCACGGGGGTCAGTCTCGGCGCTAATAAGCTCGACGATCAGTGGTAAGAAGCCGCCTATGGTTTCTTTGGCCGTTATAACTCCCTTTACTTTGATTTTCTTTTGTTTCACTATTTTATCTTTCCCACCAATATTAAACAGTGAGGATGTGACCGTACATCGTCCTCTGAGGTTTGGACGAGGACACAGCTTGTAACGATGTCTTGACGAGAGGGGGTTGATGAGTGCTGATGGTTTAGTGAACTGAGAACTGAAACTCTTTGCTATGTTAAAGGTCTGGAGACTGGACGACGCCTCTTTACAAAACATATTTTATCTGTTTGCTTCTACTTTGCTTACCCTCTTGTGCATCCCCTCTACATCTATTTATACAAGTATATACAGAAATATTAAATGTTGACAACAAAAAAAAATACAGAAATATTAAATATTTTTCTCATTTCTAAAAGTAGAATTAAAGTTCACTTTTTTTTTGTAACAACTTTTTTTTTTAAGGAGAGATGTTTGGACCTTTGAGCCAAAAAATTCTCCAAGTCGAGAGCAGCTAGATATGGCATAAAGTTTCTCTCTCAACGGAAATCGAATTAAGGGCACAATGAAACTAACTCCAAACGCTAACTATTACTCCAATACACTGTTAGTTCAGTTCATGAGTTTTCAAGTTACTTTATTGAATGTAAGTGATTTAATTAACTTACATAAGAACTATATAACAGTTAAAACATAACTTGTTTCTGATCATAAAATAAAATTACGTGTTTTCTTTATCAAATTTTTAAATTTAATTTGATTTAACTTACAACAAATAGGTCATGTAAAATTTTTAATCTATTATGTGATTTGACTTTAAATATTTACAATATAATTAAATTAAAATAATTGATTTTATTCATACGTCTTAAATGGTCAAGTGATTTATACTTATGAAACTAAATAGAATATTGCATTAAATATCAATATTTTGTTAATTAAATATATGATTTAAAATATAATAATTCATATTGCTTCTGTTATTCATTTTTATATTGAATTGTATTTATAACCATAATTTATTTTGTTACTACATATATTTAAATCAAATTAACCTTTTATTTTTGTTCATACTCTTAGATGTATAAATATTTTTAGTAAAACTAAATATAATTTGAAATATTTTGTTTTGGGCTAAAACTATGAGAGAAAAAAAAAAGTGAAGTGTGGATCACTATGAATTTGCATAAACTAGTCAAACTTGTAAAATTTTAAAGACTCATCAATCAATTAGAGCTTCAAAGATATACCAATAATCACCAAATAAAAGTTTGTTCTATCAGTTTAGTAATATATGGTTCACATAAAGTGAGAGACATAATTTAATTAAATTTTGATTACATATTGTTTAAATTATGTATTTGGTATTAAGTTAAGTTAACACAAACTATATTTTTATGATATCATATGATCAAGGTATATTGTTTTTTGCGTAAGCGATTGGCGATAAAAACATATCTATCTTTTTGCCCAAGTATGTGGAGAGTATAAGAGCATCCCCATTGAGAGTTTATGGGTTGAGTTCATACGGAAATCAAGAAAAAAAATTAATAAAATAACAAAATCCTATGAACCCCTCTCTCCTAAGACCACCTCCATTGGTGGTACTTAATTGGAGTTCCTAAAGAAAAAGTGAAAAAAAATAAATGAAAAAGAGAGATAAAAGAAAGGAGCGGTACTTATTATAGGTGTTTGAGGATTGGTAAGGAACCTTATGTGGCAATGTTTTATTGGACTATGTATTTTTCTGTGTCTTTCTTCTTCCCAAAAAACTAAAGTTCTTCTCTCTCATACATTCTGTTTCTCTCTCTTCTCACTATATTTATTGTTACTTTATTAATTAGTACCCATAAAGACTCCTTATGGATGGACATGCTCTAAAGTTCTCTCGGGTGAACCCCTCTCTCCTGAGATTCACCACGTGGCGGCCCGAGATTGGTTTAGGTTTTTTTTTTTTTTTTAAAGAAAATCAACAAAAAATAAAAAAAAATTAATAATAAAAAATTGATTCAATTAACCCCAAGAGGAGTTCATTGATGTGGGTGCTCTAAGTGGCAGTGGTACGTTCGACGATTAAAAACAGTTGCATCGTCATTCTGACGGTCGCTCTTTTATGAATATAGAACAACTTGCTTAAATAATTCAGCGTTACAGCGACAGAAACACCACCAACAACCCTTGTAAAGAAAGTTAATTGCAGCGTCAATTTGTTGAATGATTTTTGATCGCCGGAAGTGATTGCAGCGTCACTGTACTGAACATGACCTTGTTGATTAAAAATTATTTGAAGAATTTGATATTCTTTCATTGTGGTAATAAGGGTCATTACATGTAACATTATAGTTTTTCAACAAATTACACCTAATAATAGAAGTCAGGAAAAAATTACTTCTTAGTTGAATTAGAGTGTTCGTATTTTGTTGTTTCTAGAGAAGTGCTCCACTACACGTTTTTCTTTTAAGTTTACTATTTCTTAGTTGAATTATTGGAGTATTTGTTATTATTTTGTTGTTTTTAGATTGAAGGTAACACTACACGTTTTTTTTTAAGTTTACTATTTCTTAGTTGAATTATTTGAGTGTTTGTTTTGTTTAGGTCAGAGTGTTTGTTATTATTTTGTTGTTTTCTAGAGAAGTGCTGCACGTTTTTGTTGTTGACACCAGTGGCGGAGCCAAGGTGTTGGCATGTGGATCAATTAACTCAGGTAGATTTTTGAAAAAAAATAATAATTACATGTATAATTCTGTAAAAATTAGGTTAATCTTGTAAATATTAGCTAAATGACCTTATAATATAATGTCAATTTCAAAATTGACCCCTTTACAAGTTTTTCCTACTTCCGCCATTGGTTGTTACCAAAAATGTTACAAGAAAAGGGTAACATACGTATATCTCAGTCTCATTTACAAGGACGCAATTTCGGCCAGAAGTTTATATGTGCACTCTAGTATTGAGACCTCCCCAAATGGTTTTCCGAAAACTCAACTACAAAATTAGTTTTACGGTCATAATACTACACCAGCCAAAAGAAAGCGAATAAACCTTGTGATCTTCCAACGGGCAAGATCAGTTATATATAATAACGTCTTTTGAGCTCCGAACAAGCATTGAGACTGGAAAATGGATTAATTTACAGAGTTATTTTACCAGTAACGGCACACTGATCCTGGAGGTCTCGATAACCTAACCTTCCTAGCTCATATGGTACACAAATCTTATCTCAATCTATCCAGTAACGACCTATATTGTTTTGTTTGAAATTTTATCATAAGTTTGAAATTACACTCTTTAGTTTCTCAATAATGCTTTATAGTAACATCACGTATGTTGGTACTGCTTGTTATACTCATATTGTTGGCATCATACATACTTGAGCAAATTCTAAATATAAGTATATACTGGAACTTTATAACTTTCTAAAATATTCTTTTGACAAACACTACAAGAAAACTAAGCCATTACTAGGAAAATTTACTAGGAAAACATTTCCTCGTAAAAATACTACTAGTTTACTTCGACTTTACGAGGAAACATCTTTTCCTCGTAAGGTTCTCGTAAACTTACGAGAAAAGCGTTTCCTCGTAAAGTGGAAGTAAATTTACGAGGCTCTTACGAGGAAAATAATATT